TTTAGTAAGAGGGTTGAAGGGGTTTAATTAGGGAAGGGATGATTGCATGGGCGATAATGATTCTCTGCAAATTTGGATCAAATCAAAAAAATGGTAGGAGTTGGAGGATTTGCATGTCATACCTGCTGGATCTCATTTTAAGGGAAATATTCTTTAAGTCATCCTTATGGGTTGCAAAAATGATGAAGTTAATTGGTCCTGTTGAGGAACCAATTCTTGGTTTCTCACTAGCCAGAGGAAATATTTCTGAGTTCTGAATAGCAACCGCATGTTAATTTTTAGCCTTGCAACAGGGGTTCCCAGAGTAATTTGTTCAATAATAAAGTTTGGAGAGGGAAGGAGGGAGGAAGGGAGGGAAAGAAGGAAGGAAGGGAGGGAGGGAAGGAGGGAGGGAGGAAGGAAGGGTGGAAAGAAGAGAGGGAGGGGGGAGGGAGGAAGGAGATGGATATGAGAGGGAGGAATGGAATGAGCCGAGGTGGCGCAGCAGTTAGGGTGCAGTCCTGCAGGCCACGTTAGCTGACTGTGTTCAGCAGGTCAGCGGTTCAAATCTCACCGGCTCAGCCTTCCATCCTTCCGAGGTAGGTAAAATGAGGACCCAGATTGTTGGGGGCAATGTAAAAATATATATATACATTGCTTACTGGTGTACACCGCTTAGAGAGTGCTTGCACTTAAAGCGGTATATAAGTCTCATAAATAAATAAATGGAAGAAAGGAAAGATGGATGGAAGAAGAAGGAAGGAAAGAAAGGAAGAAGGGAGGAAGGGAGGATGGAAGGGAGGGAGGGAGCAAGGAAGGAGATGAAAATGAGAGGGAGAGGAGATGGAATTGAAAGGGAGGGATGGAGGGAAGAAGAAATGGGAGAAGGAAGAAGAGAAGGAAGGGAGGATGGAAAAAGGAAGGAAGGAAAGAAAAGCGGAGGGAAGAAGGAAGGAAGGAGATGAAAATGAGAGGGAGGGAGGTGATGGAAATGAAAGAGAGGGACGGAGGGAAGGAAGAATGGGAGAAGGAAGAAGAGAAGGAAGGATGGAAGAAAGAAGGAAGAAAAGAAGAGTGGAGGGAGGTAGGAAGAAGGGAACGAAGGAAGGAAGGAGGGAGGGAGGGAGGGACATCTTTCAGACATCCTTGAACTTCAGATTTGAGCTTGGTGTGCAAGAACCTGGTCTACACATTGTCAAGGCTTTGGAGGAGCCTCTGTGACAGTTTTCCCGGAGAGCACAAAGGCTGCTACCGCTGCAATGTCATGTAACCTTTTGGAAATTTAGGTTAAGCAGTATTCATTGCCGCGAGCTGCCTTCCGCTCCTTCAGGTGAAGAAGTGGCTGGGGTACACAATTGCCGTGACTTTCCTTGTGTCTTGGGTTAATCAGATTCCCCGCCGCCGTTAAGGGAGGATCACCGTTCAAGGTGGTTTTTTTCATGTTTATTTTCATCTTCTGCATAGCTCGGGGTTTTAATGAAGCTTCGCGATTATTCTAAGATAGGTGAAGACACCTTTGTTGAAATTCTGCTGGCTTTGAGACCTTTCTTTCTTTCTTTTTTTTTTTTTTTGCTTTCCTCCAGCACAATTTCACTGCCTAATCTAGACTGAACAAAGAACTGAAGAGGTTTTTTTGGGGGGGAATGAGAAGCAAAATGTCTTCCAGGGGAAAACCTTAAAAGTCTAGTTCCTTCTTGAAAGAAGCACCTTTGGGACAACCCTGAATGATGAGGGTTGATCAGACATCTAGATTAGACATCTAAACTGAAAACTCAGTGGAGACAATCCAGTCTCCAAAAACCCTTTGCATTTTTTTTTTCCAGGATAGGACCAGATCCATGATCTTCTCCCAAAAGGAAAAAAAAAAAAAAAGATTATACTGAAGATTTTTTCCCCAGAACTTTCCATCAGAATCTTCCCATTACTGGGACTGGGGCAAGCGCCAAGGCATGGTCCATTTCTTCATTCCTCACAAAGGGTGACACCTCCCCAGCATGCACCCAGGGGCTGGTTCCTCGCTGTTTCCAGACGGCCTTGTGGAGCTAAGACTGAATGCATTTCAGCATAGATGGCCACCACAAATTGTACATTGGCTCCCGGCCGGCCTGGGCCAGGGTCAAGGCAGAGGGGGCTGTTCCCTCACTGTTTCCAGGATGGCTTCACGGTTCACATGAAACCACTTCACGGGATGCATCCGGCCCCTGGACCTTGTGTTTGACATAGCTGCATTAAACAATGGACAGCTAGTAGTATAGCTTATCTTCTCTGCTACTGGAAGTAAAAGATAGTGAAAAAAGCATTTGTAAACCAAAAGGTTAAGACATTCATGCTTTGACCCCTTGTCACTAAATCCACCTATTCCATTCTTAATTTGACCCAAATGACCACAAATTGTTCAATCTGACTTTTTCTTAACTTGATCAAATTGACCAAAATTCTGTTCCTTTGCTATTTTTATTCTCTTAGCAAAGCGGATGAGAATTCATTAAAAAAAAAAAAAAGCGTTCAGGGAGCTTTCTTAATGCAAATCTTGGTGAACTGATTTGGGAGAAGAGTATTTGGTGAATACTCTTGGGAGTATTCAAGTTTACCTTGAATACTCCCTCGTCATATATATATATATATATATATATATATATATATATATATATATATGCATGTATGTATGCATGAATGTATGTATGTATAATTCCCTTTACTTTTACTTTTATTTAAATCCAATGAGCAAGGAAGAGAGAGAGAGAGAGAGAGAGAGAGAGAGAAGGGGGTGTGAAAGAGAGAGAGGAAAGAGAGAGAAAGGGAGAGGAAAGAGAAAGAGAGGGAAGAGAAAGAAAGAGAGAGAGGAAAGAGAGAGAGAAGAAAGGGAGAGTGGAAAGAGGAAGAAGAAGAAGAGGAAAGAGAAATGGAGCGGGAAGAGAAAGAAAGAAAAAGAAAGAAAGAAAGAAAGAAAGAAAGAAAAAAAAGAGAAAAGAGAGAGGAGAGGGAGGCAGAGGAAAAAGAAAGACAAAGAGGAAAGAGGGAGAAGAAAAAGAGAGAAGCGAGAGAGAGGGAAAGAAAGAAAGAATTAGAAAGAGAAAAGGAGAAAAAGAAGAAAAGAGAGAAGGAGAGAAGGGGAAGGAGGAGGAGAAAAGGAATAAAGACATCTCATGTATCTGTAGATGAACAGTTATTTGTAGCTAAAGGTTTCCATAAAGGATGAATATATTTTCTTACAGTTGTCAGCAACTTGTTCATAAGTCACAAAGACACTCAGTTCTAGAACCTTAAACAGGCCTCTGCACAGCTTATTTTTTACCCCCCCCCCAAAAAAAAATAGAAAGCTGTTTTCTCCTATTTTCCTCCTTCATACCCCCACTTTTCTGTAAACTTTCACAACCGGGAACCTGTTCTACAAACCCTGCCTTCCAATCTTTCAAATAAGCACTTTGTAAAACACGGCAACCTGCATATTTTAGTCAGACAGATATATCATCCTGTTAGGATTTTGGTCCTGTCTTCTTCCAAATGAAATTCAGTTTTAAGATGAAGCTATATGGAAATTGACTTTTTTTCCCCCTCCCTTCCTTCCCTCTGGTTATTTTTTATTCACGGGAAGCTGAAGGCTTTTTCAAGGCTTCCCACGGCAGCTGTAATTCTGCCCTCTTGTGCATATTCCGTATCTTAGGAGAGCTTTATCTAGTATTAAATTGATGCCCTTTGTGTATACAGTTGGCAAAGTACCTAATAGAGACATAAAAAATATAGCTTTCCTCTTTTTTGGGGGGGGGGCAAAATAAGTTGATTTCTTAGGCACCAGGCTAAGCCAACGGTCTTCGTGTTAAAAAAGCTTTGCAGTGGTGGCAAATATCTGTAGATCAAGTGTAGGACCAAGGTGGAGATTTGTTCTCGGAGCTTGTGGGTTGGTTTCCGAATATTTCACTACCAGGCTAGATAACATCTTCAGCGGAGTTTAGGGGAAGTCAGTCCTTCTGTTTATGAGCTTCCGGGGTGGGTCTGTCAAGTGAGGGTCTTGTGATGGGTCGTTGCATCAGAAATGTCCTGGATTCAGTCCAAAGCTCTTAAGGCAAACCTACTCTCATCCTTTTAAAGGAAAATCTGGAATAGAATAAGAATAAGAGTAGAGTAGAGTAGAGTAGAGTGGAACAGAACAGAACAGAATAGAATAATAGATAATTAGAATAGAAATAGAGTAGAATAGAATAGAATAATAGATTTAGAATTAGAATAGAATAGAATAGAATAATAGATAATAGATGAATAGAATAGAATAATAGATAATAGATAATAGATAACAGATAACAGAGAATAGAATAGAACAGAACAAAACAAAACAGAACAGAACAGAATAGAATAGAATAGAATAATAGATAATAGATAACAGATAACAGAGAATAGAATAGAACAGAACAAAACAGAACAGAACAGAACAGAATAGAATAGAATAGAATAGAATAATAGATAATAGATAACAGATAACAGAGAATAGAATAGAACAGAACAGAACAAAACAGAACAGAACAAAACAGAACAGAACAGAACAGAAGATTAGTTTCCATCCATTGTTTCTTGTCTTGTCTTCTGGTGCTTTAGAAAATAAGTTGACCGCCCGCCCCCTCTTCTTTGTGGCGGCCCCTCAGATACTGGAAAAGTGAATCGAAGGATCTGTTTCTGATATAGAGAAAAAAAATGGTGCATTGCTTTACAGGAGAGATGCTTTCCAGCCACTCCCACTCCACTTCTCAGGAAGCAACTGGACGTCCTTGTTTTTCGTTGAAGACCTTTCGCTCCTCATCCCAGAAGCTTCTTCAGAGCTGAAGAAGCTTCTTGGATGAGAAGCGAAACATCTCCAAAGAAACAAAAAACAAGGTTGCCTCATGAAAAAAAGCAGCTTTGGGATAACTAGGATCTGGACAACTGAGAATCTCCCTAGACATTTCCAAGCACTCCTGTTTGGGGGTTGAGAATCAATAGAGCTAATGCTATTGACGTCCTCTTTTTCCTTGTTTGTTCTTTTTTTTTAGGGTGGGCTGATTGCTCTCCTTCTGCTGCTGCTGGTGTTCACCATCGCCTTGTATGCGCAGCGGCGCTGGTACAAACAGCGCCGGGTCCCCCACAAGAGCGCCAGTTCTGAGGCCACCCACGAGATCCACTACATCCCCTCTGTACTGATTGGCTCCCAGGGCAGGGAGAGCTTCCGGAGTTCACGCCTTCAAGGTCACACCTCGGTCATCGGCATGCCCATCCGGGAGACCCCCATTTTGGATGACTACGACTACGAGGAGGAGGAGAACCCTCTGCATCCGGAGCTCGGCTACCGAGATGGCGATTTCGGGAGTCAAACCGGGGTGCCGCTGGACAGCTCAGGCCGGAGCGGAGAGAAACTGGTCTACGAAAAGAAAGGTGAGTTGACTTGGGTTTCCCCATGCTTATCTTTGGTTGAAAGCAGGACCAAAGTCAGGACCTCCCGTCTTGAGTACTGTAATGCACTCTATGCGGGGCTGCCCCTGAAGAGCATCCGGAAGCTCCAATTGGGTGGAATCATCATCACCTTCTTCTTCTTCTTCTTCTTCTTCTTCTTCTTCTTCTTCTTCTTCTTCTTCTTCTTCTTCTTCTTCTTCTTCTTCTTCTTCTTCTTCTTCTTCTTCTTCTTCTTCTTCTTCTTCTTCTTCTTCTTCTTCTTCTTCTTCTTCTTCTTCTTCTTCTTCTTCTTCTTCTTCTTCTTCTTCTTCTTCTTCTCCTTCTTCTTCTCCTTCTCCTTCTTCTTCTTCCTCTTCTTCTCTATAACACTTATTACTTGGCAAAAATGGAAGGATTGTTCACTTTATAAGTTTTGGTCCACTGCTTGCTTTTCAAAACTACATGAGAAAAAAAATACAGTTTCTTTCAATGTCATTTCAACCTGTTTTCCTAGCCAGTTTTTGATCTTCAAACTTAAGAGGAATTGGAATTTTATAGTTGCATTTAAAACAGCAAGGAAGATCAAATCCTGTATTCTAGATTGCTGACTGCACGCTGGGCTGAGTAATAAATGCGAGTGGTTTATTTGCGGCTTACTGTGATGTGCAAACAGGGGTCAGGAATAAACCATGAATTTGGGATAGTATTCTCCGGTCTGAATGGATTATTTTTGTTGTTGTTGTTGGCGTATGGCGTCCCTGGTGCTGATGTGCTATGCAAAAGAAGAGGCATGCTGGGTTTGAAATTTCTTGGTTCCTTATTCGTTTCTAGAACATCTGCAGCAAGGATATATATCTGCATATAAAGAATGGTTGCTGGAACTGGGTATGCCTAGGTTTAATGAAGAGAAGGACTTGGGGTGACATGGTAGCAGTCTTCCATTATCTCAGGGGCTGCCCCAAAGAAGAGCGGGTCAACCTATTCTCCAGAGCACTTAAAGGCAGGACAAGAAGCAACGGATGGAAGCTAATCAAAGAAAGAAGCAACCTAAAACTAAGGAGGAATTTCCTGATAGAACAATTAATCAGTGGAACAACCTGCCTCCAGAAATTGTGAATGCTCCAACACTGGAAGTTTTTAAGAAGAGATTGGACAACCATTTGTCTGAAATGGTATAGGATCTCCTGTCTGAACAGGGAGTTGGACTAGAAGATCTCCAAGGTCCCTTCCAACTCTGTTATTCTATTCTATTGTATTCTGTTCTGTTCTGCTCTTCTATTCTATTCTATTCTATTCTATTCTATTCTATTCTACTCTACTCTACTCTACTCTACTCTACTCTACTCTACTCTACTCTATTCTATATCCCTATTCTATTCTATATCCCTATTCTATGCTATGCTATTCTATTCTATTCTATTCTATTCTATTCTATTCTATTCTATTCTATTCTATTCTATTCTATTCTATTCTATTCTATTCTATTCTATTCTATTCTACTCTACTCTACTCTACTTAAACTATTGTTAAAATGAGGGACATCTTGCTTTGATATGGAAACAGAGCAACGTGAGTGAAAAACCATTTTTTTTAAAAAAAAAAACAATCTTTTGAGGTGGTCTGATCTTGAGGGCTTTAGGACAGTCGCATAGCTTATCTGTAGTTGTAGACATTTCTTTTTTTCTTCAGAAGATCTGGTATGGGAGAATTGAAAAGTCGACAAGCCTTATTTGTTCGAGATGGTGTGTAGGGTCTCCTGTTTGAGCAGGGGGTTAGACTAGAAGACCTCCAAGGTCTCTTCCAACTCTTTTATTCTATGTTCTGTGTTCCCTCATACAGTTTGAAGTGAGCCTACCGTATCTTTGTTCTGAGTGTGGCAAATGCCAGTGACTTGTTTCACCTAATTGCAAAGGATGAACATCACAATGATTTTAACTACCCTGTGAATTAAATCTTCAGTGCAAGCTGCAAATTCAAGTACCAATCTCAATACTTCAAAAGAACATGGCACCTTGTTATTTCTCCTGAAGTTTTTGTATCCCGAAAATCAAGCTAGCTATGAATAAGCCAGGAATAGACCAATCATTGTCTGATTTATTTATATGGAGCTGCCAAGAGCACCTCCAGGGAATTAAGTTACTCAGTAAAGGGCTTTTATTCTCTTTTTGTCCCACCCCGTCCCCTCCCTTTCTCTCTCTCACTGTTCATGTTCTCCTACACCTACACAGAGAATCCACAGCACAAAACTCAAGGCAGTTAGAGACTTATAAGGACCCTGCAGCTTTTAATATGCTTAAATTTAGACCTCAAAAGAGATTGTGTTGTTTAGATATGTTTTTTTTTTTAAAATGCAGCATTTTAAGATCTATGGAGGTCTGATCTCACACTGGGATCTTATTTCCATGTTTCTGATAAGGCTCACATGGGCAGGGCAGTGTGGGTGAGTGGTGATATAGCCCTCCAATTTCCTTGCTATTTGTGCCACATCTTGTATCTCCAAATTTTAATTTTAAAATACTTGAGTATCAGCCATTCCCATATCCACACAAGGGCCTTGAAAGTGATTCTATTTGTTAGAATAGAATAGGGTAGGGTAGAGTAGAGTAGAGTAGAGCAGAGCAGAGTAGAGTAGAGTAGAGTAGAGTAGAGTAGAATAGAGTAATAAAATACAGGAATAGAGTAGAGTAGAGTAGAGTAGAGTAGTAGAATAGAATAGAATAGAATAGAATAGAATAGAATAGAATAGAATAGAATAGAATAGAGCTGGAAGGGACCTTGGAGGTCTTCTAGTCCAGCCCCCTGCTCAAGAAGGAGAACGTATACCATCTCAGACAAGTGACTGTCCAGTCTCTTCTTAAAAATCTCCAGAGATTTCTATTACACGATTTCTGGTGGCAAGCTGTTCCACTGGTTAATTGTCCTCACTGTCAGGAAGTTTCTCTTAATTCCAGGTTGCTTCCCTCTTTGATCAGTTTCCAACCATTGTTTCTCATCCTTCTCATCCTCTGGTGCTCTGGTGAATAACCTGACCCCCTCTTCTTTGTGGCAGCCCCTCAGATACTGGAACGCTGCTATCACGTCTCCCCTGTTCCTTCTTTTCTTTAGACTAGCCAACCCCATGTTCCCCTCTTCGTCCTCAAAATTTTCAAAGCTTTGTGAGTCAGTTTTCCCCCAAGGTGGCTTTTTTTCCCCAAAAGGCAAAACTGGATTTCTTCGGCTATTTCTTTGAAAACATTTCGCTTCTCACCCAAGGAGCTTCTCCCGTTCTGAAGTTCAGACCTGAAGAAGCTTCCTGGATGAGAAGGAAACAGAAGCTTAAGAGCTGGGAACAATCCAGGCTGGCTTGACCTTTTGGTTTGCATTTTGGATGCTTTCGTCAGTTCTGTGTTTCGCCAGAAGAGAAACAAAGCCACTCTCCACACAGTTTTGGGGCTGTGCGCTTTCCTTTTCCTATATTGGAGGCTTTCTCCAGAGTTTTGAGCTAATGCATATTTGATTGCCTTTGTTTTTGGCCTGGTCTCTCAGAAGGGAAACAACAACAACAACACCATAGCAATAAGTGACAACACCCCATTTCTGCTGTGCTGAAATGTCATTAGGAAATGTTTAATACGGTTAACCTCCAGCGCAGCAATAAACCGCCTCCAAAGAAGTAAAAGCAAAGAAGATATTAATTTTTAAAGGGGGAGCAATTATGCAACAAAGGAAAGGAAAACCAAGCCAGAGACTTCTGCTGTAATTGAACCGAGCGCCAATTCTTTTTTAAAAAGAAGTGGATTTCTAACCTATAAAGGCCACGTCCCTGGCTGGTGTTCAGGAATAGCCAGTAAGTCTTTTTCTGCAACCTTCCTCATTCTTCCTGGATACCAGGAGATTTGTCTTATTGTCTGGGGGCCCACCGCGTCTACGCAAAAGGAATGTCATCTTCAAGACAACTCACTGCGGTGATGAAGATGCTCTGCCTGGCTGGATTTCTGCTCCTGAACCCCAACATCTTATTTTGCTATCAATAAAAGAGGGGATGTGAATTCCTTTGAATTCCTCTCCTCCCCCCACCCTCTCTCCTTGTGTTTGCCTTGCAAGCAGATGGCTTTGATTTTTGCAAGAGTTGGTAAGATGGAATACAGCACACTTAATCATATGCTGCTTATCTGTTTCCCTGTAAACACACAATCCTTTCACAGAATCTGATTATAACGCAAAAGCCTCACATGGAAGTTGCCACTCGGAGGCCCCCAGGGACGTGGCATGTATTGTTTTGCTCAAGCTGCATCTGTTCTTCCAGGTAGATTTTTGGTGGGTTTTTTTTTCCCCTTTCTCATCCTGACCTGGCAGTGGAGGTGTTATTTAGAAAGCAAATATTGTCTTTTCCCTTAAAAAGGAAATAAAATTCAAGCCCTTCTTCTGGATAAATAGGATACGACTGGCTCCCTGGTTCACAAATTGTTCCATATGTTTACACCAGGGCCTCCAACTTTCAGACTTGTGGACTTCAACTCCCAGAATTCCTCAGCAGGCCATGGGGAATTCTGGGAGTTGAAGTCCACAAGTCTGAACGTTGCCAGAGTTGGACCCCCCCCTAATCTACAGGATACTCTGTTTTTTAAAGCAGTGTCAAACATCTCCAGCTAGTTCCAAGAAGGATGAGTACTGGAGCTCTTGCTATTTTTTTCTTTTCAGACATGGCTGCGTGTATAATTTTGCCATCTCTTTGCAGGCAGACCAGTGCCTTCTCCAAATCTTTTAATTTCCGAAGTGCATATGCCTAGTCCTGGTTGGCCCGGAAAGACAAATTGGGCTTCAATTGCCAGGAACACCTTAAACTTCAAGGATATCCAGTATCTCAGGGGCTGCCCCAAAGAAGAGGGAGTCAAGCTCTTCTCCAAAGCACCAGAAGGCAGGACAAGAAGGAATGGATGGAAACTAACCAAGGAGAGAACCAACCCAGAATTAAACAGGAATTTCCTGTCAGTGAGAACAATTAATCAGTGGAATAACTTGCC